CCGGTTGCTGTTAGTGCCGTATAGAACGGCCATGTTTGATGCACCAGTGCACCGGTGACACCGAAACCAAGTAAAGCCGCCACAGCGAAAGCACTCAACCAGCATTTGGTTTTATCGCCAAACAGTAGGGCAGTGGATTTGACACCAGCAATCAGATCATCTGTTTTATCCTGAACAAACTGGTCCAACTGATAAAGCAAATTTTTGCGAATTTTGAAAGAAAAGAGAATGCTTGTGTGCATGAAACCAAAAAAAAAAGCAGCAAAAGCACAGACATTTCCTTAATTGTGCGATTTTTTGAAAGAAAGCAATATGCAAAAACACAGGCGAAACGATGACTTCTGGATGAAGCGGCAACTATTTCTGGATCAACCGGGGCGGCAACGACTTCTGGATCAACCGGAGCAGCGAAGATCTCTGGATCAGGGGATAAAATGGCCATTATCACATGATAGTGCTCGATGGGGGGAGCGAAGCTTGACGGCATTTGGATGACGATTTAGAACGTAAAGTCTGGATAATGGTGGCAAACTTGTGACTGGGAGGACACAGGTGCAACAATGTGAAGTGCGAAAAGATGTGCAGAATGACAAGTCCCCGGATTTGTGCTTCATAAAACCTGTCTGACTTGGTCAATCTGCCTCCAGGTGATTTTAACGACCAATCTATCTCCAAGCGTTTTTTAACGGACCGAAACGTCTTATCTCACTCTCATCTTCTCTCATACTGTTCTCTCATGCTGTTATATATCGCGCCTTCGTCAGTTAGGCTTCCAGAGTCAACCTGGTTGCTACAGTCTGCTTACAAATCGTCAAAATTGTGCAACCAATTTGCTACCACATTGTTTCCTACGTAAAGGCTTAAGATTCAGCTATAAGCTGTTTTCATAATGCTGCAACAGGGCAAGCTATGATCCCTAAAATTTGACAATTAAATCTGTCATGGGATCTGTTGCTTCATACCAGAAATCTATGCATTTTCTTTGGTCTCTTATAAGGTAATTTCGAAGCGTTTAATTTAAAAATGTCCATAAGGATGGGGATGAATGAGCAGGGTACACGAAGCTGAGATTTGTGTGGACTTGTGCATCAAACCGAAAGAGGGGATTTTTGATCATATTCGATCAAATGTCCTGCTCATCTGTAAGAACAGGACCCATAAAGCTAATTTTTCTGGAATCCTTCATGGGCCGTTATGGATTCATCAACACTGGGACTGACATGATAACAATTTGTTAATGTAAATTGTACGGTGCAGTCGTGAAAAATTCCACAAAGGTGATTTGCGCAAAAAAACGAGGAAATGAGTGACATGGGATTAGTATAATTGCTCAGAGTGATGTGTCAAAAGCGAAAGGGCAAAATAAGGGTACAATGACTGAACAGCGAGATTAATTTAGCATCGAAAGCTGAATTTGAAATGTGCTGGTGTCAGCTCTTTGGCGTATGTAGTGAGGTTTCGAATTCAGCTAATTTTCACAATATCTCTGAGAATGTTGATTAGGCAATGTCCTACTTTTGGAAATGAGTGTGAACCAGGCTCGTTCTGCACTGGCTAAGCCAGCTAAATCGTTTTTTTACATCCCACGAGAGATGGAGTCAACCAGAAGTAGCACAAGTATCACGAATAGTAGCCATGCTGACACAACTATTGATGGCTACCTCTTTCGAGAAACTGCTTGGGAACAAGCGCATTTTGGTTTGCCACGAAAGCTGTGACCCACAAGTAATAGCATAAGTGACAACTCCTTGTCAAGAGTGACCATGTGCTAATACGATTGTTGATGGCTACCTCTTTCAAGGATTTGCTTGGAAAAACACGCATCGGTTCTGATTCCCTGGGTAGTTTACCATCGAAACGAATGAACGAACTATAAAATGGGGCAGATTTGGCTGGACGAGACGGGAAAAGAGCCCAGCGGCCAATCCTGATCCTCGAAAAAATAGCTTCAGTCCCTCCAAAAAGTACTGCTTTCGCTGCTCAGCTGTCAGGATTTCTCACGATGCTCTAATTCCAGTAGAAGGACAAAGACACGTATCGAAGGACAAAGCACAAAGCAAGTTTAGTCGAAGCCTGAAATTTGAAGCTTTACAAACACCAGTTCACCCTTTTTACTAAAAAGGCGTCTCTTCAAATTCTTTTTCTCTCCCTCTTTCCGGGCCTCCTCTTCCTTATCTTGCCATGTCGGGATACTTTTGGCACTCATTTCACTCGTCTGACGTTGCGAGTCCTCAAAATCTTGCACTTACACAGGCACCACTGTGGACTTAGGACCTAATACCGAGGGAGAAAAAACACTTTTGAGCTGTCTATCGATCTGTAGCCTCTAATTACACGTAAAATGTTGGTGCGAAATTTTACAGTGCGAGAAAACCGGTTTTTTTGCATTTCTCACAAAAACTTTTGTGTGTTAGCTAGTG